AAGTAATCTTTCACAAGGAAGTCAATCTGTTGCGGTTTATTTTGGAAAAATGAAGTCCCTATGGGATGCACTTACTGCAATTACACAGATCCCATCATGTACCTGTGAATCCAGTCAAGCTATGACAATTTATATACAAAATCAAAGGCTTATGCAATTTTTGATGGGTCTCAATCCTAATTACAAAGTTACCAGGGGAAATATTCTAATGATCAGACCCCTCCCTAGCCCAAATGATGCTTACAATCTGATTCTACAAGAAGAAAAACAAAGAGAGATTTCCCCTTCTCCCATTCTAAATCCTGAAGCTTCTGCCATGGCAATTCAACATGTTGAAACTTCTGGTGCTCCTACACATTATGGACCTTCCCGACCTTTTTCCTCCCTCAAAAACACTGGTCCCAACAAGAATTCGTACTACTGTACTCAGTGTAAGATGGCTGGTCATTCTAATGAAAGGTGCTTTAAGCTTCATCCTGAATTGCGGAATCAAAGGAATAGAAAGTTCCCTCCTCGAGCACATATGACCAATGTTGATGACACCACACCTCCTGTTCTCTCATCTGACATGTATCATCAACTGGTGGAACTTTTAAAGAGGTCAAACAACCCCAATTCAGAGACTACATCTTCGGATTACTCTGCTATGCTTGCAGGTATATGTGTTTGTCTCTTGTCCTCATATAATCACAATACCTGGATAATCGATAGTGGGGCCACAGATCACATTTGCCCTCACCTAGCATTATTTGATACTTACACTACACCTCCAGTAAAGTGTAATATCACCATCCCTGATGGATCCAAAGTTCCTGTAGCACATATTGGCACAGTTAAACTTTCTGCAACTATTACCCTTCAAAATGTGTTGCATGTGCCACAGTTTCATTTCAATCTCTTGTCAGCCAGCAAGTTGGCTCAACAAATGTCCACGCAGATTGTCTTGACTTCTACAAATTGTTACATTCAGGACCCTTTGACGAACAAGCTACAGGACCTTGGTAAAGCAATCGATGGTTTATACTTGCTGCAGAGATCTCCTACAGATGAACACTTGGATGACACCTCTGTGAATACACAAAGATTTTTGAATAGTACAGCATGTTCTGTTTCCATTGATGTTTGGCATTGTCTCCTTGGACATACTCCTCTACATTCCATAAAACATGTGATTTCTGGAGACAAATGTAGTAGTAGACAACTCTCTACCTGTAATGTTTGCCCAAAGGCCAAATTCCATAGATTGCCTTTTCTTACAAGTCAATCCCAGAGTACTCAGATTTTTCAATTAATACATGTTGATATTTGGGGTGCTTATTCTACTCCAACATATAATGGTTTTAGATTTTTTCTTACCATAGTTGATGATTACTCAAGAGCCACATGGGTTCATCTTCTTTCTCATAAAAGTAATGCTCTCCCTATTTTGAAATCATTAATAACATATGTTGAGAAACAATTTGGGACCACTGTAAAGAGCATAAGATCAGATAATGGTGCAGAATTTTCTGAGAAAGAGGCCATCCAGTTCTATAATTCAAAAGGGATTCTTCATCAAACTTCATGTGCTGACACCCCTCAACAGAATGGCAAAGTAGAAAGGAAGCACAAATCCCTCCTAGAAATTGCACGGTCTCTCCAACTCCAAGCCAATTTACCTTTACAATATTGGGGAGAATGCATTTTGACTGCCACTTACTTGCTCAACAGACTACCCTCTGTTGTTTTACAACACCACACCCCATATGAACTCTTACATAATCATTTGCCTTCTTATGATCATTTAAAGGTTTTTGGCTGCCTATGCTTCATTGCCACTTTGAAGAGAAATAGAACCAAATTCCAACCTAGAGCTCACAATGGTGTTTTTTGGGATATTCTTATGGCAAAAAGGCATATATTGTACTTAATCTTGAGACTCGCAAAGTGCTACACTCTAGATATGTTATTTTTAAGGAAAACATATTTCCTTTCCATTCCAAACATCTCTTTGATCAATTTTCTTCAATCCCATTACCTACATCAATGGATTGTTCCATTTTCCATGATGATCAAACTACATGTTCTCTAGATCAACCACAATCATCAACCCCACCCTCCATTTCATCCATACCACAACAAATACAACCCTCTACTTCATCCATACCACTCCGCAGATCTTCCAGGCCCTCAAAAACCCCATCTTATTTAAAAGATTACCAATGCTTGTCTTCTACAACCACTCACTGGTGTAACTTGGTCCAATATGAAGCTTTACCAGCCATCTCCCAAGCTCACATCACTCACATGGAGCAACACTAGGAACCCAAAACATACAAGGAGGCAGCTTCACAACCATGCTGGATTGAGGCCATGCAAAGAGAACTTTCTGCTTTAAAACTCAACAACACTTGGACAGAGGTTACGCTCCCCATTGGCAAGAAAGCTATTCCTTCAAAATGGGTTTATAAGGTCAGACTCAAAGCAGATGGTACCTTAGAGAGATACAAAGCCCGGCTGGTTATTCGTGGTGATACCCAAAAAGAGGGCATTGATTATGAGGAGACCTTCTCTCCTGTTGTCAAAATGCCTACCATCCGAGCCATCATTGCTTTGGCTGCACACAAACAATGGAACATCTATCAATTGGATGTAGATAACGCATTTCTGCATGGAGACCTCCGGGAAGAAGTTTACATGAAGATGCCCCAAGGATTGGACAATCCTGATAACAAAGTATGCAGATTACACAAATCACTATATGGTTTAAAACAGGCATCTAGAGAATGGTTCACAAAACTGACTGATACCTTACACCTTCTAGGTTACACTCAGTCTAAGAATGACTATTCCCTCTTTCTTAAACGCCATGGTCCTCACATCACAATCGTGGCAGTCTACGTAGACGACATTATGGTTACAGGTTCCAATCCTACAGAGATCACTCAGCTCAAAACAAGTCTTCATGGACTTTTTGGAATCAAAGACTTGGGCCTTCTCAATTACTTCTTGGGTTTCGAGGTTACCCATGTCCGAGATGGTATTAATCTCACCCAAAAGAAGTTCACCAGAGAACTTCTACAACTGGCTCACGTCCCAATAACCACTACTGCAGCAACACCCCTACCTCTTCACTGCGTTACTTCCAACTGATGGTGATTTACTTCCAGATGCTACATATTACAAGATGATGGTGGGAAAACTAAATTTCCTTACTCATACAAGGCCAGACCTTGCTTTCACGGCTCAGTTACTCAGTCAGTTCATGCAATCCCCTCACTCCTCACATCTTAAGGCATTAGAACATGTTTTAAAGTATCTTAATGGTACTCTTGGTCAAGGAATCCTCATGGCTGCTGCTTCACAAGTATCTTTGCATGCCTTTTCAGATTCAGACTGGCCATCTTGCCCCATCTCTTGCAAATTAGTCACTGGCTATATATTGATGTTGGGTAAATCTCCCATTAGTTGGAAAAGTAAAAAGCAAATCACTGTTTCTCGCTCTTCAGCAGAGTCTGAATATAGAGCAATGGCACATGCTTCCGTAGAAACTGTTTGGTTGGTTCGCCTGCTAGAAGAACTTGGTCTCACAGACTTAAAGCCTGTCTCTCTTCATTGTGACAACCAAAGTGCTTTACAAATTGCACGCAACCTCGTTTTTCATGAGAGAACAAAACACATCGAACTAGATTGTCATTTCACACGCGACAAAGTCCTTGAAGGTCTTCTCCAACTGACTTATCTTCCCACTACATCTCAAATAGCAGATGTCCTCACCAAAATTCTCCCTTCTTCCCAACATTGGAATCTTGTGCACAAGCTTGGCATGCTTCGTGACCTCTCCCTACCAAGCTTGAAGGGGGGTATTGAAGATAACAGAACTCAAAACTAATTCCGTTTTGACAGTTCAGGACCCCGGTCTTTACTGCGCTTTTCTCGGCTTCTGTTTACTTTCTTTCCATTTGACACTTTTGTATATAAGCTCTGTAATAGTGACTTTATTAAGCAGCAGAGAATGAATTTTCATTTTCCTCCATTGATGAGTATCTCTCTGGTCTTTCAATTCCTCCAAGAATTTGAGTTTATATCTGAGTATCTCAATTGATAACAGCCAACACTTATATTTGATTTCTTAATTGCTCACCAAATAGTTGTTACAGTAACCTGATTTTGTTTTTTTCTCCAAACACAATTTTTTTAGATTTCGAAGCTCATATTCCCTCCGTTCCTTTAAATCCTTCTCATTTTGATTTTGGGCCAAAATAAGGAAAGTACTCCCTCCGTCCCAAATTATTTGTAACATTTGCTTTTTCAGCAGTTGCGGGAAATTTTGTTTATTTCTACGTTTTCATTGGTTATTTGATAAAATAAAATATTCTTGACACCTCTTATTTCGAAGAACTTTTCATGTACTTTTTTGATATGTAAATTTTATTTTTTATTTCTATACCAATATGTAGATAAAAGGAATTGAAAAAACTTGATATTTTGCCTCGGGAATATAAGTGTGGCAAATATTAAAGGACGGAGGGAGTAAAATTTTGGTTGACTTTCTAATTTTGTCCATGATGTGATTGGTAAAAGTAAGATGTGATAGTTTGGTTACTAATAAAAAAAGTATGATGTGATAGATAGAGTATGAAAAAATAGAGTTAAAAGTAGTTTTTTAATGAAAAGTGAGAGCATTTTAGGGAATTGGAAAAAAATGAAAGAAGAAGAGTTTAATTGAACGGAAAGAGTGTGATTTCTTTCAGATTTTAAAACTCATATCTTCAAAACTCACCAAACGCGCCCTAAACTTCTCCCTACACCCAACCCATAATCCATGAACACTTGTATGTTTATATTATGTTCATTAACAATAATTTGTAACTAAAGTTTTTTTAACATTTGATACTCAAAAGACTAAAAATTAGTTTTTTCATTTATGAAGGTGACTAGTGAAGACATCATTGGCGATCCATGCCTCTATGATTACGCAAAGGTCTATATAAATAGGCTAGACGTTCAAAAAGCTTTACATATCAACAACACTCGCCACTTGCCATATAAATGGGATGTATGTGAAGGGTATTTTTCTTATCAACTCAGATTCATCACTATTGTAGCCGATTGGAGAACTAACAATTGTATTGTGTGCTAAATAAGAAAATTAATTAAACAAATTTTAAAAATGCAGGCATCTCTGGCCTGTGGTGGACGCATATAGTACTAAAAACTTTCGTACACTCTCAGCACTTTTAAAGAGACACATCCGAATCTTGCTTTACAGGTGACTAATAATTCTTAGCTAAATACTCAGAGTGTGTTCTTGCGATTTTGAACGTGGGATTATTCATGTTTTATGCACTTTACAATACACCTTGTATTATAAGTAAAACAACACATGGTAAAATTATATATTCTTTCGTGGTCCTAAAGTCAATGTTCATTTTATAGACCTTAGTGTATTGATAGCGTAAAAGTATTAGGCCTTCTGAAAAATAGAGAAGATCTACTTGCCAATCATGAAAAGTTCACATTTCACATGTGGACCAAAGAAGAACAATTCAAATACATGTACTCATCAATCTCTTCCTATATAGTGGAGATCAAGATATAAAAGTTCCTACCATGGAGACTCGGAAATTTGCAAACATGCTCGCTAAAGCATTGAAGCTCGTCCATACGCAGAAGAATAGACCATGGTACAATGGCCCTCAGGTGATGCCCTCTCTAGTTTTATAGTTTTACTAGTACCACTTTTTTTCGAAGATTTGTTTTGACAAAATGTGTTTACAAGTGAAAAATGAGGGGCTAATACTTAATATTTGTTTGTGATACAATTTGATAATAATTGGTCTTATAAACTAATTAATGAAGATTTCATCGCTATATATAGAAAATACAAGGAAAATTTTAATCATAGTAGGATAAAAATTATGAAAAGAATGCAACAAGGAAATAAAAGGATAAAGAAGGTAATTAAAGATACTCCCTCCGTTCAAGGATAAACTTCCTACTCTACCTTTTTTTTCGTCCGGAAATAATCTTCTCATTCTACTATTATATACCAATTCTTCCTAAATTACCCCTTCTTTTCTACTCTTTTCTTTTTCTTGTCTCCTCTACCGTTTCTCCTCTCTTCCACTTTTTCTTCTTTTTGCTTTTCTTCTTTCTTCTCCTCTCTCCCTCCGTCATCCTCCTTTCATCCACTCAATCTTCTTTTCTTTCTTCTTCTTCTTCTTCTTCTTCTTCTTCTTCTTTCTCATCCTCTCTCTCCCATCGTCATCTCCTCTTCTTCACTTTTCCCCCTTCATCTTTTCCCTTCTTTATCTCCTTCCAGATCCGAGCTTATTTCTTCTTCCAGACTTCCAGATCCGAGCTTGGCAGCGGGCGACAGCGATGGTGGCGACGACGATTGTGTTAGCGGGGATGATGGTGAGTCTAGATCTCCACTTCTTCTCCTTTTTCTTCTTAATTTCTTTGAGATCTAAGATTTCTTTCTCATTATTCTAAAATTTATTTCTCATCATTTTTTATTTCATTGAGATCTAAATATCTAATGGTAGGGCTATGGCGGTAATGGTGGGACTGGAGCAATTATGGTGGAGGGGGATGGTGGAGATGGTCGGAGAATGGATCGATGGTGGAGCTGATGGACACGGCAGGGCTAGCGGCGAGGAGGAGAGGGGCTACGGTGGAAGCGATGGTGGGGACTTGATGGTGGCAGGGGCAGGGCTGGGAAAGGAAGGAGAGGGGGGTATTTTAGAGAAATTACACCTTTAGTCAACATCCACTAAAAATGAGGAAAAATCAAAATAGGAAGTTTATTACCGGACAGAGGGAGTAATATTTATTTCCTGAAGAATTGTTATTTTCTATTGAGAAATAACGGAGGGCGAAGCCTCGTATAAATAGTTACAGAAGATTCCTAATTACGGAAGGGAACCTATATATGTAAACTACCATAATTACAAGGATCACATAATTAATATTAAATATATACATAATATATTTAACATGCACCCAACTACGTGACCGGCGAAGGACGGACGCCAAGACTGTGTCTGAAGTCGGAGAAGAGAAGAGACGGAAGCCCTTTAGTGAAAATATCTGCATACTGGGAAGAGGAGGGAACATGTAGTACTCTAACATGCCCTAGGGCAACCTTGTCTCTGACAAAGTGGATGTCGACTTCTACGTGTTTGGTGCGCTGATGCTGTACTGGGTTTGATGATAGATACACGGCACTGACGTTATCGCAAAAGACCAGTGTAGCACGCCGCAGGGGTTGTTGAAGCTCAAGGAGAAGATTTCGGACCCAGCTTGCCTCAGCTACGGTGTTTGCCACGGCACGATACTCGGCCTCAGCACTGGAGCAGGAGGTGGTGGCCTGGCGCTTGGAGGACCATGAGATGAGGTTTTCTCCAAGGAAAACACAATACCCCGAGGTGGAGCGACGAGTGTCGGGGCATCCAGCCCAATCAGCATCAGAGTAGGCCTGCAAGGAATCTGTGCCCGTACTGTGAAGGGTGATGCCATGAGTAGCAGTGCCATGGATGTAGCGTAGAACCCTCTTCATAGCTGTGAGATGGGTGCTGCGGGGGGCATGAAGGTGTAGGCAGAGCTGCTGGACTGCATATGTAAGATCAGGCCGAGTGAAAGTGAGATACTGTAAGGCGCCGACGATGGATCTGTATATGGAGGGGTCCGGAAGTGGTGTACCAGACGTGGCTGAGAGCTTTGCTTTGGTGTCGACTGGCGTGGAGATGGGCTTGCAGTGGAGCATGTCGGCACGTTCCAGGATTTCATGAGCAAACTGTGTCTGGTGAAGAAAGAGGCCGCTGCCAGAGCGCTGGACATTAATCCCAAGAAAAAAATTGAGGTCCCCCATATCTGTCATGGCGAACTCTCCCTTAATTAGCTTTTGAGTGAGACGAGTGAGAAGAGCAGAGGAGGAGGCTGTGAGAACTATGTCGTCCACATAGAGAAGAAGATAAGCTGTGTCAGAACCATGAGAGTAAACAAAGAGGGACGGGTCACTTTTGCATCCCCGGAAGCCCAAAGTGAGGAGGAAACTTGCAAACCGGTGATACCAAGAGCGCGGGGCCTGCTTGAGGCCATATAGGGCCTTCTTCAACTTGCAAACATAATGTGGGCGTGCGGGATCCTGAAAACCTGAGGGCTGGCAGGCATAGACTGTCTCGTGGAGTGTACCATTCAGAAAAGCATTCTTGACATCTAGCTGATGGATCGGCCAGCCATGAGCTAGAGCAAGAGTGAGAACAATCCGTACCGTGGCTGGTTTAACATGGCTAAATGTCTCGTCATAGTCGATGCCATAGCGCTGATTGAATCCGCGGACCACCCATCGAGCTTTGTACCTGGACAGTTCACCTATAGGACCAAATTTGTGGCGGAAAAGCCACTTGCCAGTGATAATGTTTTGTGAGGGGGAGGGGGGGTACTAATTCTCATGTTTCGTTTTTAATCAAAGCACTAAATTCATCATACATAGCATTGTACCAGTTTTGATCCTTCAGTGCACTACGATAGATGGGTGGGAGTGGGGAAATTTGGGACATGGAGTTAAGGTTGAGGATATGTTTGGGTTTGGATATACCGACTTTGGACCGGGTGACCATAGGGTGGGTTGTGTTGAGATTGGGTTGGGNGACGGTTGGGTGGGGTTGGGGTGTCTAAATGAAGTGTGGTGAGTTGTGTCGTCCTCCGTGGAATCAAGGAAATTGAATTCGGTAGGGGTGACGGGGTGAGAATAAGGGTAGGTATTTTCATCAAAAATAACATGACGATATATGATGATTTTGTGAGTGAGAAGATCAAGGCATCGGTATCCCCGTTGGTTGGACGGGTACCCTAAGAAGACACATCGGGCAGAGCGAGGTGCGAGTTTATGAGGGGCAGTGGCGGCTATATTGGGATAACAGAGACAACCAAAGACACGAAGGTGAGAGTAGGTGGGTTGGGAACCATAAAGGACTTCATGGGGAGTGTGATTTTGGAGAGTGGTGGTGGGTAAGAGGTTGAAAAGATAGGAGGCCATGTGTAGAGCCTGAACCCAGAAGGTGGGTGGGAGTTGGGCCTGAAAAAGAATAGATCGCACAGTGTTATTTATGGTGCGAATGGTCCGTTCAGCACGACCATTTTGTTGGCTAGTGTGTGGACACGAGAAGCGGAAGATTATACCCAAGGATTCAAAAATGTTACGAAGGAGCGTGTTCCTGTATTCAGTTCCATTATCACACTGAACAGCCTTAATAGTAGCATTAAACTGATTTTTCACAAAGGCAATAAATGTGTGAAGATGAGAACATGCATCAAATTTATGTTTAAGAGGAAACACCCACAAAAAATGAGAATAATCATCCAAGAGTACCATATAATGCTTAAACCCAGTAATACTAGTAACAGGCGATTGCCACAAATCAGTATGTAAAAGCTGAAAGGGAAAAGTACAAATACGACTCGACGACTCAAAGGGAAGACGAACATGTTTCCCCAACTGACAAGCATGACAGAGAGAATGATGTAAATGTTTAAAAGACATGTAGGGAAGACTAGGGATTCCACGAAGGACGGCAAGGCTAGGGTGACCAAGACGACGATGCCAGAGCTCCGAGCTACCGGTGACAACGTTGACTTGGGCTTGGGCTTGGGCGGTGGACTGGCTCATGGGGTAGAGAGGGCCGGTATTATTGGACCGATGAATCACGGTTCCCGTCAGCATATCCTTCACAGAAAAACCAGTGGAGTCAAATTCAATAGAACAATTATTGTCACGAGTGAACTGGCAAACAGAAATAAGGTTGTGGATAATGTGGGGGGAGACAAGGATATTGTGTAAGTTAAGGGGAGGGGATGTGGGAAATTTATAGTTACCTATAGCCGTAGTGCGGACTTTAGAACCATTACCTACAGTGATATATGATGAAGAATTTAATGAATGAGTACGAACATGAGAAAGAGTACCTGGGTCCGAGGCGATGTGGTGAGTGGCACCGGTGTCCATATACCAATTTGGATCACGGAGGCTAAGGGTGTCGAAATTGTGGGCTAGGGCAGTGGGGGTGTGGACACCGGTGGGATGGCTTATGGGTGAGGGTGGGGGTGTCGGGTAGGAGGAGGAGGAGGCTGCCGGGTATGGGCTGGGGTAGGGGGAGGTAAGGCCGTGGGGAGGGTGAGGGGTAGAGAAGTAGGCTTGTGGGTGTTGGGGGTGCGGGTAGAAGTTTGGCCGCGGGCCTAGAAGGCCCGGGTTAGGGTTTGGGTGGGTGAACTGTCCGGAGGGCTGCCCGAGGGTGTTCCGTGCATTCGATCCAAAGCTACGACCGCGACCACGACCCCGAGATGAATCGCCACGGTGCCGGGAGTACTGCTGCTGCTGCCCGAAGCCTCCCCCGCCGCTGGAATCTGACCGCCCGCCACCTGCGCTGCCTTGCCGCCGCGGGCCTCCACTGCCGGCGTAGAACACCGTGCCGCCATCTCCCGTGACACTCCCGACGCCCAATTCAGCCCGTTGTTGTTCAATTAAGAGAAGGGCCGAGCGTGTTTGGAGAAAGGTTGGGGGAGACGTTTGGTATTGAAGAAACGATGTTTATGCACGAAGATCATCTGGGAGGCCACGCAAGACTTGAAGAACAAGTTGTTGTTCGGAGACGGTGGCATCTACATCATCCAACCAATCCGCAAGATTCCTTAGGGTT